CCAAGGTTACTCTCCCATCAGCGTGGTTCTCGCATCCTCAAGGAACTAACTCGCGAACCAAATTGTCATCGGACTTCCTAGACCATGAACTGTATAAAGCGTAAAATGGTTCTCTTGGTGTTGGGCACAAAGGTTTGAAATTCTTGCAAAATAAATAATTTCTTTTGTATGATTTCTTTTCTTTCCTTTTGGTTATACTAGAGATAAACCGCACCCTTCCTTCCTATATATATATATCATCATCATCATTCCACTGCAGACGTACCTGCTTTCCAGTCCAGTCTTGGCCCCCAAATTTCGCTATTTCGTCGCGCCATCGTGTCATTGGTCTGGCTCTTGGCCTCTGTATGTTATTTATAGTCCAGTCTGTTACTTTCTTTGTCCATCTGTCGTCTTGTCTCCGACATACATGCCCTGCCCATTGCCATTTCTTCTTTTTAATGCTCCCGAGTATATCTTCCACCTTCGTCTGTTCTCTGATCCACATCGCCCTCATCTTTCCATCCCTCTCTGGGCACTTATTAGTTTTCTCTCCAGTAACCTGGTTGTAGTCCATGTAGAAACATGTAGACCCCTAGGTCATAACTGGGAGGAAGCAGTGGTCAAAGACTTTTCTTTTTAGGCACAATGGCAAGGAGCCTCTTAGTGCGCTACTGTGCCTGCCGAAGGCACTCCAGCCTAGACTGATTCGTTGCTTTATTTCCTGTTCACTAGATGTGCTTGTCTGTATGAGTTGTCCTAGATATATATACTTGTCTACTACCTCTAGCGCTTCGCCTTGTACAAGTATCTGTTCGGATGGGACTCTGCTGTTGAACATAACCTTATTCTTTTTCTTGTTCTTGAGTCCGACTTTTAGACTGTCTCTATTCAAATCGTTTATTAATTATTGCATTTCATCTGCTGATTCACTAAGGAGGACAATATCGTCTGCTAATCTTAGGTTGTTTAGGTATTCGTCTCCTATTTTGATACCCTTTCCTTCCCATTCTAGTTTCTTGAATATTTCCTCGAGGCAGGCTGTAAACAGTTTTGGTGAGATGGTATCGCCCTGTCAAACGCCTTTTTTAATTGGAATTTTATTGGTTTCTGTGTGGAGCTTGATGGTTGCTGTCCCATCTTTGTATATGTCTTCCATTATTTTACTATATACCTCCTCTACTCCTTGTTGTCGAATAGCACCTAATACTGCTGGTATTTGTACAGAGTCAGATGCCTTTTCATAGTCGATGAATGCCATACACAGGAGTTTCCTATATTCGTTCACTTTTTCTCTTATTTGGTGCGTGTGTGGGTGATCTGTTGTTGAGAATCCGCTGCGGATGCCTGCCTGGCCTCTAGGCTGGCTAGAATCCAGACTGCCAGAGATGCGAGCTGTAATGACTTTCGTGAACAGTTTGTAAGTAACCGAAAGGAGCTTATGGGTCGGTAATTTTTTTAAGTCCTTTTATCGCCTTTTTTGTAACAGTTGTTGCATTTTTCCAGGTTTTCGGAGTTTTCCGCTGAGAAACATTTGTTAAAAAGGCTAGTTTCACTGTTGCAATTTCTCCTGCATCTAATATAAGGTCTATACTAATTTCGTCTTCGCCTGGTGTTTTCCCTCTCTTCATGCCTTTAAGCGCTCTTTTTATTTCTTCTTTTGTGATGTTAGGTATGTCTCTATTTACCGCGTTTGCTTCTATTTGTGGCTGTACGTTTGAGTTGTATAGATCCCTGTAAAAGTCTTCCACTACTTTGATGATTTCATTCTTGTTACATGTTACTTCTCCGTCTGGTTTCTTAATTGCATACATTTGATTTCTCTCTATTCCTAGTCCTCATTTCGCTGCTTTCATGCACACACACACACACACACACACACACACACACACACACACACACACACACACACACACACACATATATATATATATATATATATATATATATATATATATATATATATATATATATATAGAGACACAGCTTTTGATTTTGTTGTTGAAACACACTTAGACAGAGAAAGGAATAAGGATAAAGCCCGTACTTTTAAAACTTATACCCATGCTAGCGATCGCCTGGCGATACTGCGCCAGGCGATCATCTGAGTGAGGGAGGCCTTACTTTGAAACCCAGTGTCTGCCAAGGTGGGCGATCGCCAGGATTGGCGAACGAAAGGGATCGCTAGTGATAACATCTTGAATTCCTGCTCATTCTAGCGCACCGGCGACTGAAAATACGCGGGAAAGGCAAATTTGTTTGCAGTTGCAGTACACAGCGTCACCATGGCAACTAGCACCGAAGTTTGTCGGTCCTCTCCTATACCCATTTTGGATAAAGAGGTCCTTCGGGACCTCATAAAGGACTATATAGAGGCCGTGTTCATCCCTAACCTAACCCTACCTTACCTTACTTTACCTTACCTAACATAACCTAAGCTTAATTATTAGCCTCGGGAGAAGACGATAATGTTATCTCCGTAATAGCCTCACTTTATACTATAACAAAGGAGTTAAGAATTAACCATTTTACTATAACAGATATGAAATAGTGAACTGTAGGTCTACAAAGGTATCATTAGACACGCCTCATTGTAGATCGGTGGAGCATGACAGCTGTTTCTATAGCCCGTGGTAAACATGCCATCACCAAGGCGCTTATGGTAACATTTGTGGAAAAAATATCCCTACAACCAAAATAACAACTTAAATCAAAATAACTCACCTCGGGGGCGGCAGGAATACAGCTGGTCTTGAGCTCTTTGCTGGAACATTGATTGTCTTGAAAAAGCTTCATGTATACGTTATTTTATAATAAATTGTTTTTCAGAGATGTTAGAATTACAATGTGATTCTTTTCTCATATCATATACAACTATGTTGCTATTTGTAATTTGAAAGCAAGAAAATGCTATTCAATCACGGGAAAGGGAGGGCTCTCGCGAATTCGCTTCGCCAGGCTGTTCCAATGCGACTGAACGCCAACCCTGAAGTCAGATCGCCTGGCGAACAATTACCATGTTTTTAATAGTAGGAAATTCTCGATCGCCCGGCGAAATCGAATGCTACCCCTGGCGATCGCCTGGCAGGAATACAGCTGATGTCTTGAGCTCTCGACTGGAACATTTATGGTCTTGAGATACTACGTATATACGTTATTTCATAATGAATTGTGATTTTCAGAGATTCTGAAATTAACAATCTGATTCCTATATCATATTATACACAAATATAACACTAATTTGTAATCTGAAAGCAAAAAAAAAAAAAAAAAAAAATGCTATTCAATCACGAGAAAGGGAGGGCTCTAGCGACTTTACTTCGCCTGGCTGTTTCAAAACGATCACCTGGCGAATACTTGCCATGCTTTTAATAGTACGAAATTCCCGATCGCCCGGCGAAATCGAATGCCAGCCTTAGCCAAAAGTTTTAAAAGTACGGGTCTTAGTCTCTAACCACCGTGGTGCCCAGCCATGGCTGTAACCTCCAGGCGCCTGGTCGGGCTGCGAACCGCTGATCCCTCGGATGAGGCCGAAACGTTACTATTGTTCTAATCCGGAGACTGAGAGGGGAATGTTTCAGTTCAGATCATTTACATTCGCGAAATCTAGCTTCGCATGGGCCTTATCTCTAGATTGGCCCGGCCTACGTCAGCTATTTCTCTTTGACTCATGTGTTTTCTTTGAATTCTATGCTTTGCGCGGAGGCTGGGTTGCAAGCAAGCGATCCATCTGCCACGGCGTAAGAGGAAGAGGGGAGAAGGAAGTATAAAAGAGAAAGAGGAGAGGCAACCCGGTGAATACAGGGCAAAGGACAGGTGAACGGAAGCATAGGGAGGTCAAGTCAGGTCGAAGGATCAGGATCTATGCGCGGAAAGGAGTCTGTCATAAGGGAGAAGGCGAAGGATGTGGGAAGCGAGGCTATTTATAAGAGAAAAGCCGCTGTTCAAGTTTAACTCAGACAGCAGCTTAATTAAGGAGGATTTCACGTCTGCGGCGTGGGCATCAGTGGAAGGAAAAGCAGTTCGTGTGTGTGTAATACATGTTCATACATATATATACATATGCATACATGCACACACACATATATGTACATATATATATATATATAATATATATATATATATATATATATATATATATATATATATATATATATAATATATATATATAATATATATAATATATCATATATATATATATATATATATATATATGTGCGTGTGTGTGTATGTATATTATGTATGGATGTTTATTATATATATGTAGTTGTATGTATATATACTACTTATATATGTGCGTGTGTGTACACATACATATATACATATATAGGCATATATGTATATGTGTGTATATATACATAAATACACATATATGCACAGATATATGCACATATATATTAGTATGTTTATATATTTAGTATGTTTATATATATTATATACATATACACATTCATACATATGCACATACACATACATACATATGCATATGTACATATGCAAATAGATACATGAATATCTACATATGTATACATATGTATACACAAATATATATGTATAAATATGTGTATATTTGTATATATATGCATATATCTATCTATCTATCTATCTATATATACATATATATATATATATATATATATATATATATATATATACATACATACATATATATATATTATATATATGTGTGTGTGTGTGTGTGTGTGTGTGTGTGTGTGTGTGTGTGTGTATTGTATGCATGTATATTGATAGATAACTATATTTGCTGTGTGTTTATAATAGATAGATAACTATATTTACGTGTGTGTGTTTATACATAATACAATACACACACACACACATACACACGCATATATATATATATATATATATATATATATATATATATATATATATATATATATATATATATATATATATATAATATATATATATATATATATATATATATATATATATATATATATATATATATATATATATATATATCTGTGTGTATACACACAAAAATATGCATGAATATATATATATATATATATATATATATATATATATATATATATATATTATATATAATATATTACATATATATAATATGTATGTATGTATATATATATATATATATATATATATATATAATATATATATATATATAATTATATTATATTATATATTATACACGTGTGTACACAGTATATGTAATGTATATATACATAATATACATACATATACTCATATATGTATATATGATGGATGTAGACATATATATCTATGTATGTATACATATCTATGCATACATATTTCATCCTCTGAAACTGGAATTATTAATATCGCATGATATCTATTGTTGCCGGTAAGGAGAATCACGTAGGAAACGGATAGGGACATAACAACGAAATGTATCTCGTATCTTGGCAGGCAATCGATTATTCCTCATATTGAGAGGAAATCTGAATTGAGACCGATGTTCATCAGGGAGCAATGTCCTTGCTATTGAAAAACATCATAGGGTTG